CCCGTTCAGCTTCGCGAACCCGCACAGTCTTGTGGGCTGCTGCTATGTCCAGGCTGAACCCACCGACTTCTTCCGAACATGCCCGGATGGGGAAACCTGCCTGAATGTCCGAGAGGCCCGGCAATGTGAACCGCTCAGGGATTACGCACGCGGGATTTGCGCCCGACACTGTTGGATCAACAATAAGCCTAGGTTTACGCCCGGGAGCCTTCACTATATTGGCTTTTCCTACTGCAACCCGAGGCCAGCGGCGCCTGGCTTCATCCAAAGAGTCTACAGGTTCAATGTACCCGGCCTCCAACTCAGCCTGAACCATTTCCTCCAGGAGAGACGGGTCGGCCTCAGCTCCAGGCCAGTTGCCAGCACAGATTCTGAAATCTTCAGGGTCCGTCTCTTCCTCTGAACATGGAACTGGTATAAATGTATGGCTTGGAGGAATGTCGCGCTCAACCCCGGTTGGAACCCCATCACGCAACGCTGGCCACAAACTAACATCACGGTCTTGCAAGGCTTGCGCCAGCACCTCAAGCGCATTCAAGGCATAAGGCTGGCCCTTAGCTACCGACCAATCAACCTCCTGCGTAAAACCCTGCTCACGAAACCAACTCCCCCAACAGGCCCGCAAAGAAACCACTTCACTTTCAGAGAACAAAGGCTCAGCCCGGCCTTCCGCAACCTGCTTGCGCAGGCGCAGAGGGGCTTTGGTGGAGGCAAACAGCTGCATGAGATCCCGACGCAATGTTTTGAAGACATCTGACGTGCCAGGAGGCGGAGAAGCCCAATCAGGAACCGAGTAAATCCCACCCCCATCTTGACACGCCCTTGGAAAAGATGCCTCTGGGCGCACAGGGACGCTCGCGGTGGCTTGCTCAAGCGTGACTTCACTTGCAGGCGCAACAACGCCCGGAAAAAGAGGGGCAATCAGCTCTACGTATCGCTGCGCAAGGGCATTTGGGAAGGTAGCTGTCTTACGCGAGAGAAAATCGCCCGACGCATCCTGAACACCCGCAAAGGATTCATGGAAACCTGCTGCGTGCGGGCACACCGACTGCAGCGATTGAAGTGGCCTCCAACTTGTGGCAAACAACCAATGCTTGTCAAACGGCATCTCAAACTCACAGGCTGCCACAACAACTAGATCTGCGGAAATGTCCAACATGAAGCCCTGGGCAGCAGGTTCTGACCATGACATACTGTTACGCAGCTGCTCCAAGCTTGCATGCCCTCCCGACTGGTAGACTGCGTACAAGATGGCCACGGTGCGTTCCAAAATCACGCGGCTCTGAGTAACTCGGGCATTCGCCGCGGCGTCATTGGTGGGCAAACCATTGAGATGCTGCGGA